CCCAACTATGTTAGATGCCAAGAACTAAAAGGAAGAATTTAAAATTTGGCATTTCTTAAATATTAGAAATAAGCTAAACAAAACTTTCAAAACTTGTAACTACTAACAAACTCTAAGTCAGGAATGACTTGACATTCTTCAGTAATGTATAATATACGAAACAAAATGATGCTTGGAAATGTTGAAAATTTTGTTCAGTATCCTAATATTTTACTTCAAATAATATGATTTGATTAATCATGTTGGGAAAATGCAAAAATCTGTTCTTAAATATCTTTTAGCAACTTTTTTTCTAATTTTATTGCCCAAAAATGAATTAATTTTAAATCATAAGCAGTTAAACTCAAATTAAAATACAGTTTTCTCAAAACTATGGGTTTTTGACAGAGGGGTTTTTGACATGACGGTAAAAACCATGGTATAAACCGGTAAAAACCGTCATGTGTCAAAAACTTGCCTACCCTGGCGGTACCTTCACAAATTTAACTTTAGGAAAAACGGTAGTTTCACGAAATACTTTTTCCTAAAATTTTATTTTGTATCCCTTAAGAAACGATAAATCCATATTTTTACCATATTTTTGTGTTGATTTTTTAATATAATTTTTATATTTCACAAATTGATGTCTTTCACGAAATGGGTACCTCTCAGAAAAACCTAGACAGACCCCTGTAATAGTACTTACCATCTTGCCCTTCATCAAATTATGATAGAAAGTGCAGCAGTTTCTCTGGTTTTTTCTTTTGTCTAATCATTGATATTACATGAAGTGAAATAATTGCAGATGCTTTTTAAATAAATTTTTTTTTGTTATTCACATTATTAATTACACATTATTAAGTTTTTTTTAAAAAAAAATGCTAATTGCTTTTTATTTGCAAATCGAGTAATTATTTGCTAAATTGAAAAGCACTGTGTTATGTGTGTGCATTGCTTAGTTATTTTCTTACTTTTTTTTATGGCCTTAGCATGAAATATTAGTGATGGTTTTATAATAATTAATAATTATTTTTTTTACTTTCATTAACTGAATAATTCTTTATTTTCCATATATTAATCTAATTTAGGCCTAGTGCTATTGTTTATTTTTATTCAAAAAGGTTTAAATTAAATATTTGAATTTGTTTTAAAAACTATTTAAGTAACAAATAGCTTTTTCTTTCTTATTCCCTGTAAGTTGTAATTCATTCATTAATCAAAGTGAGAATTATTTAAATTTCAGGATAGGTTAACAGCTGGATTTTTTTTTCTCCACATTTTTACCATGTGTGAATAGTTTATTATTTATTCAGTAAATTCATAACTTTCATCCGTACTGGAAAATTGATTGGAATACTGGTTTTTGTGAATTTCTTTCTATTTCAAATACAATTAAGAGCTCTCCTGGTTTTCATACATTTAAATTCTAATTTCTATTTGAGAATTTAAACAATTCATATTACTTAATTACTTAATTTATTCATCATTTAAGAAAATGGGTATTTACTTTATGACATTTTATTTTTGATAATACTTGCAGAGGAATTTTTGTGGTTTTCACAAGTCTGGTTGCAGAAATGTTTGATATAAGTTCTGTAACTTATATCTAATGAATTACAGCAAGAACTTATATCTGCAACAAGTCTTTTCTGGGAGTGTTTGGTTTCTGTCTTTACTGGTTTTAAAATTTTTTGGCAATTATTATACATAAATCTGCATAAAATATTTATTTTCTTGTTGCACTCTGCTTATGGTAATTGTTTCCATAATTATGCTTCTTAACGGAGAAGTTTCAAAATTTTGTTGATCCCCATTTTTACTAATGTTTATTTGTGCTGTAAGTAAATTCAATATTTTGATCAAAATCTTAAACTATGTTTAAAGTTTTCTAATTGCAATTAAAAGTTTAAATCATTTCAACGTTATAAATATCTGAAAAGATAGTAGTAGGCAACTCTTTTTTTCTATGCATTGCACAGTAAAACCTTCGAATGACGTCCCTCGCAGGACTGTGACCAGTGTTAAGAGATGGCCGCCATTTGAAGTTGTAATTGAATTGGATGTTTTTTTTTTAAAAAATGCAATATCAAACAACAGAAATGTAAGAAAAGAAGTGCATAATTACAAAAAATATGACTCAAATAACATACCTAATATTTACTATCATTATTATACTTTAACATTATGATCACTTTTTTTTTAAGATATAGTTGATTCTCATTTTTCAGCAGTGAAGCTAATTTATGGCTTTTTTACTATTTGAACTAACTTTTATTTTGTTCTCCAATGTAAGCAATTTTTGATTGTCGTAATCACTCATATTTCGATTATTCATTTACTAAAGTTTGTATTTAGACATCCTCTCTTCTAGTGTCTAAAATATGAAGGAAAAAAATTGCTCAACAAATACTAGTCGGACGCATTCACATATTATTTCTTTAGTACGCGCACTGGCTATTTCTTTACAGGGTTGGGATTTTGAACCGGACACGAGGATTTTACCGTCTTAAAGTGTCCAAAACCTTGAACTTTGGTAAAAATTCTACAAGTGTTACCATTGCACACATAAAAATTTCCTGTATTAATAAATATTTGATTTATTTTTTATACAATATTCTTTAACTTATGAAAGAAAAATAGTATAATATAATAGGAAAAAATTAATAACTTTTGAAGCTACACAATTCAATGATCAACAAAAGTGAATACCTTATCCTTTAAATATAAATAAGGCTGAGAGCTAGAAGCTTTTGCTTTCCTCAATGAAATAGATATCCCATGAAAACAAATTGATAATTTGTAAGCTACAAATTGTTTGTGGTCGCCCCCTTTTACATGGTGGACGCTAGAGGACCATTCGTCTGGTCAGCAGAAGAGGAGAAAAGGAGTGATAGATTTATGAGGAATTAGAATGTAGAACGCCTTATCTTAACAATTTGTTCTTGTGGAATATAACATTTCTTTCAATTTGTTTTTGTGGGATATCTATTTCAATGAGGAAAACAAAAGCTTCTAGCTCTCAACCTAAATGTGCTTTTAATACTGGTAAATTATGTTTTTGCATAATGATAAATAATGTAATATTAAAAATGATGATAAACTTTTTTAATAAAGGAAAAACTTGTCTTCATTTCTTGTTCAAAAATTAAACTTTTATTTTTGCAATATTTTTTTAAAATTGTGATATAATTTGATGTTGTTGTTATTGTTACTTTACGTCGCACTAGAGCTGCACAATGGGCTATTGGCGACAGTCTGGAAAACATCCCGGAGGATGATCCAAAGACATGCCATCACAATTTTGATCCTCTGCGGAAGGGATGGCACCCCCGCTTCGGTAGCGCGACGACCTGCTGATATAATTTGAATAAAAGGGTTTTGGACAGTTAAAGACAGTTTTGGACAGGACAGTTTAAACCCTGGTTTAAACAGTGGGTTAATCCATTCTGTCCTGAACATGCCAACTCTGTTTCTAAGAACTGCTTAAATTAAAAGCTGGTCAATGATGATGCAATTACTGCTCATTGTCTATGTTAAAAGATTCCTGAGCCGACACATTAAAGATGCATGTGAGTTGAACTGTCAAAACTATGGTTGACTTCTGTATGAATGCTTAGCTATTTAAATTGAACAAGATTCCTGTTATTTTTGCTGACCAGCCTATAAAGATGCAGCTTATCTATAGAAACTGAACTGCCAGATCTAAAATTTGACTATTTTGTGAATGTTTGCCATTAAAAATTGTGAATGATTTTAAATGGCAATGACCGGCCATCTGTTAAAATAATGCAGACAAGTGTTAAAAATTGGTAAAAGTTGACTAAGATACAAAATTCATACGATTAACGAGTGCTCGTTCAGTAGTAGCTGTTCAGAGGTTCCCGGTAATGTAAACAGAGGATGCGTAGAGTTTTAAAAAAGTGCGTAAAGGTGCTTATTTTTGATTTACATTTTTTAAAAGCCTTTAAAGGTGTTTTCTTTTTAAAATTCGGTGCTTGTAAAAAGTGCTTAATTTTCTATCATTTAAAAAGAGTTTTTTTCTTTGCCCTGTCAATTGTTCTAAATTACAAAAAAAGCATGATTTTCACAATTTTCTCAGCGCTATTTATCAGAACCTAGTTATTCTATCATGATTATGTAAAGTTTTTGAAAATATTTTTGAAATTTATTGATTTTATGTTTATAAATTAAGAACTATTTTGATTAAAAATATTTTTTGAATGCTTTAAAAATACTTAAAAGGTGCTTATTTTTTGTTGAAAAATCTGACTACACACCCTGGTAAATCCTATGGAAACCATTCAGTACCATAATCGTTCTTCAGTAGTTACCATTGCTTAGAGGAGGTCATTAACGGAGGTTTTACTGTATATTGATACATTTTGATCAAAATATAATTATACATTTTATCACTGATAATAATATGTAATATAATAATATATAATGATAATAATGTATAAATTTTTTTTAAGATCAAACTCCAACACCTACCAGATTCTTGAATGCATTAGATTCAGCTGAATTATTCCAAGATTTCCATGCTGAGAATCCATTTGATGCTACTTTTCGAAGAGCAAATTCCACTGGTTCTGGCACACCTAATTTCAATATCCCTGAGGTAGTTCATTTTATTTGCTCACTTTTTTAGTTCGGGTTTCAAAAAACCCAACCCGGGTTAGTTTTATTGGGCTTTTCTGGATTTTTTATATTTTATTGGGTTTTTTTTTTTCAAAAGAGAGGGCAGGAATAAGTTCCTTATTTTAAAAAAGCTTACTATTTTAATATTAATAGTTAAGTTTAATTTTATGAATTGACTTAACAGATAGGTAATTAAAGCATAATTAATAATTAATACAAATTAATTGGTGCAAAAGTCTGAAAAAAGTTTGTTCTGACATTACGATAAAAAATTTGCTATGTACTCACATATGTCACGCATTTGAAACTTATTTTAACACGGGATTACATTTAACTTAATATATCTAATCTTAAAAAATATGTAGAATTTTTTTTTTTTTTTTTTTACATAGAAAGTGAATCAAGGGCAATGACTAATCAATGGTCATACAGCCAAATCTATCCAGCAAGGGGACTCTCCAGACTACGTATATATTTCAATAAAATAGCTCTTTAGTGTAACAGAGGATAAAAAAAAATCAATTTTAGAAAAACCCAGTAAAACTCATTTTAGGGTGGGTTTTACTGTGTAAGTGGGATTTTTGCAACCCTGCACTTAGCATATTAAACAAAACTATGGATTAAAAAAAATATTTATAAAATTTTATCTGCTAATTTTTTTTTTCAAATATTTTTTCCCTCTAATATGTTCTTGAGCTGTGAAGCAAGCATAAATAGATGTGTTCGACTCTTGGAGGGCTCACAAGCTTTTCTATTGAGATTGAGCATTTTGAACCAAAGTTCAATTGTTATGTCAGGTCTGCTGAATATTATAAGAATAAAGATCATAAATTATGTCAATATATTTCATGCTTATTCTTTAGCTGTTTTAATAAGTTTACACATAACATTATTTTCCTTGGATATTTTCAAATTCAGTTTATAAGTAAGTTGAAAATTCAAAGTAAGCCTGAGCCTGCCATTGATCTAAATCTAATTTAAAGTCTATGCCAGGCTGCCTTGCAGTCTCTTTAATTTATTTTAAATACTGAAATTTATTATTATTTTTTAAATGCAGAAGTGTTTGTATTGTGTGGCTCTGACGAGTACTCCACCAGACCAGAAATCTGGAACTGTCTGCTGCCATGGTTACAAGTAAGAGCACATTTCTTAAGGGGGTGCAATGGAGGAATGAAAGTGTTGATTGGTTTACTCATGCTGACCTATGCAAAGATCAGGGATGAGATTCTTCCGCGGATTCGCGGATTTCCGCTTTCTTTCAGATTTTTCCATTTTTCCCGCTAATTTCCGCTGAATTTTTTTTTTACGCAAGTTAAAATGATTTATGAGGAATTTAATTTTCCGCGGAGGGAAATTATTGAAGTCCCTTTTCCTCCCTCTGAAGTTTCTCTAAAAATCATTTCCTTGGGATAAAACTGGTTGACCTTTATACAGGGATGAGATTTTTTTTTGTCTCTCGAATTTCAGCCTTTTTTTCAAAAACTCTGATTCTCTAAAAGTTTCGTCTTTTTTAAATAAATATCCCGTTTTTTTGTTTGTTTTTTTTAAAATTCAGTCATTGAAGTAAAATAATTATATTTATTTACGATTTTCAAAGATAAACAGAAAATTCAATCTACGCCCTAGCTGCTAACCCTTCCACATTTTTACTTATTTTAGCTATTTTCTCCGTAGATTTCCGTATTTTTTATCCGTCGGCTGGATAGCTCGTATTTTCGTAATTCAGACGTCGCTGCTTCTTGTATTCTGGCGTGAAAACAAACAAAAAAAGAGGAAAAAAATAGAGGTGATTTGCGGAGAAAATATTTATTTGCTCATTCAATTAATCTTGTAAATTTTTATTTATTATGTCTAAACAAAAACAATACAAACAAGCCTTTTAGAAATCACAAGTCCAGACTCTGCAAATATCTCGATTTTTATTCACGCGATTTTAATATCAAACATCGATTTTCGTATTTACCTGATTTAAAAGTTGCACATTGCGATTCTTATTTACGCTATTTAAATATCGTATATTATGATTCTTGTTTACGACATTTAAAACCCAATATCGTGCTTTGTATTTATGCATTTTTAAAATCGCGATTTTATTATCAAATCTCGATTTTCGTATTTACCTGATTTAAAAGTTGAACGTTGCGATTCTTATTCAGGCGATTTAAATATTGTACATTGCGATTCTTACCTACCAGATTTAAGAAATCATTATCGCGATTTGTATTTACGAGCTTTTAAAGCCCTATGTAGCAATTTGTATTCACGCGAGCTTAAAATCCAATATCGTGATTCGTTTTTGTGGTTGTAATATCGCGCGATTTAAAAATTATGCATCGTGATCAAAAAATTAAAAAATCATGATTTGTATTTTCGCATTTTTTAAATTCGATGTAGAGTTTCATATTTACGTGATTTAAAAGTCTCATATCGGGATTTATATTCACATGGTTTACAAGTTTAAAAATCACACTTTTTTTTGTCTCATTTTTGTTTATATGTACAGTAGGGAACCGATTATCCGGAATGATCGGGACCATCGCTATTCCGGATAACTGATTTTTCCGGTTTTCTGAATCACTACAAAAAAAACGTTTTTTTATTGTTAAACCCAACTAAAAAATAAAAATATTTGGACATAATCTTAAAAAGAAGAAAAAACGAATAGTAATACACTAATGATTATTTCCGAAATGATGGTAAGGTAAGCATCTTTCAAAAAAGAAATAAAATCCTATGAGGAAAAAAGATTTTTTTTTTTTAAATGGCGGGAAAATTATCGAATTTTGTTCCGGTTTTTTTATTTTCCGGTTTTCTGATTTCCGGATAACTGGTCCTGTACTGTATATATATATATATATTTTTATTTTTGGGATTTCCTCTTTTTTACTTTCTGACTGCTCTCATCTCTGAAAGATCAAGACAAAACTATTCAAAGTGACTTTTCCTCGTAACCATGGTAGCCGCCACGACACGAGGCTGGTGTCTGGAGGAGTTCTCCCGAAAGCCGGACTATATAGGGGTTTTGTTTACTTTTAAAATCTAGCTGAATTTAATTTATGTATATTTTCTATACGAAATCAAAATTAACTATACCGAATTTTTTATATATATTTCCTTCCTTTTTAAACTTTAGTTCATAAAATTAGTTAAGAATTTTTTTTTTTTCTCATTTCTTATTTTATTCCTTAAAATTAAAATAATAACTGAAGTATGCATAATCATTTGTGTTATCTTTGACATCTTTTGTAAATAGTGATTAAATATTAACCAAATATATTTACATTAAATTTTAATGTACCTACTTTATTTCTCATTACAGTATGTAGTACAATTGATACTTATGGTATTGAAAATTTAAACTGTTTTATTTTTCTACATTAATTTCTCCTGTTTTAAACAGATCTGTTGGAAATAGTGTAGCATTTGTATAACCAGTTCATCTGAGCATTTAATATTTATAGGTTTTAACATGCAAGTGAATAATTGAATTTTGAATGTAGTTAATATGGCTTTTCTTTATTTTGCTGAGGAGTATTGTCTCTATGGGGAGGGGGGACAGTTATTTTTAGTAATGGCAAGAACACAAAAAATGCGTTATTAAGATTTCATTGTCAAGATTTAAATAAACAACAAAATTGATTTAATAGAAACAAAAAAATTTAGGAAATCTCATCTTTCCCCGTTTCATCAAGCTATTCTGAAACTTAACTTTCTATTCTTCTGCGAAAGAACATAACTTTAAAGCCGAAGCGCTGTGAAAAATGTTTTTAGCGGTTCAGATGCAGAATGATAAAAGGTCAATAAGAGCTAGTTCTAATTTAGCCAAAAACTAGAACATAAATTCCAAGTAATCAATTTTATCATTTTACACTAAATATAAAATTTCAAATTTAGTATTATATTACTTTTTCTGTTTAATTGTAAAGCCATCAACAATTATGATTCATCCATAATTATTAAGATTTCATTGTCAAGATTAAAATAAAAAACAAAATTGATTTAATAGAAATCTCCTCTTTCCTCTTTTTATCAAAGCTATTCTGAAACTTTCACTTCTGCGTAAGAACATAAAATAAAAATTTGAAAACCGTGAAAAATTTTTTTAGTGGTTCAAATGTAGGATGATAAAAGGTCAATAAGAACTAGTTCTTATTTAATCAAAAACTAGAGCATAGATTCCAAGTAATGGATTTCATCATTTTACATTAAGTATAAAATTTCAGTGTTGTATTTTAAATTTTGTATTATATTACTTTTTCTGTAAAGACATGTATAATTTTATTAATATTACATATCTATTTAGAATTAAGTTGTATGTACACCTTAAAATAGAACTAATTTGTTTTTCATCATTGCTATATTTCTACGTTATTCTACTTTTTATTACTGCTAGCTAGTTCGGAAAGTTGGCAATAGATGAATATCATTATTGCATTTATTTTTTTGTAATAACAAATTAATTTAAGGAATGTTGAAAATTGTTTTATTTTAGTCCTCATCATTGATTGCAAGCCTGCCTGATACTTCTGAAGTTCTAAACACTCCATCAATCACATTACCTTCAGAACCTGCAACACCCATTATTTTAAAGTCAGAATTTTTAAGGAGGCAAAAATCGAAGGATGTCATTCACACTGAAAACGCAGATTCCTTACCTTTCTCTCCAAATGACCAACAGAGCTTAGACCAAACGTCAAATGAAGACGCTTCTGCTGCGATCGTAGAAAGTACTTCAATTGTTGCAACAGAATTAAATACAATTTGTGAGGACATTCCTGTTGTTCACAAAGTTGTTGCTACCAAGTCAAGTGTGGTACAAACTCCTGTGATCACATCTGTGTGAGTGCTTTTATTTTATTGAATTTGATCTGAAGAAAAAAGTTTTTTTTTCTTCCCCTTGAGTTTCTTTGTTCAAGTATTTTCTTTTAGTTGTTCATCACTTAACCGGTCCTTTACGCCACATCAAAGCTAGCTTTTTTTCCCCACTGAGTTTTATTATTTTAAATAAACGGACGAGGCTCTCCCTCTATAACTTTAGAGGAAGTAAATAATTGTAATATTTACTTGAGGAAGTAATAATTTAGAGGAAGTAACTAATTGTAACTTTAGAGGAAATCAAAATTCGAACATTATTCTAAACATCCGAACATTTTCTTAAACACTATTGTAAATTTATTCTAACAGACCTTTATTTTTTTGACAAAATGTTTTTCTCTATGAAACTTTTTTCTGTATGACCTAGTCATAAATGTTCTCATACTGAAAATAACTTTTAGTGTTAGTACTGTTACATGCATGTTTTTATTAAATTGAAATTTAACCGTGGACAATGATTTTTATGAATTTATAAATTTGGATACAATTTTAAGCCCAAAATTTTACAATAGCAAAATTATTTTTGAATATGTGTCGAAAAATGTATAAAAATTTATGCCATAAATTATTTTTATTTCTAGTGACAATTTTTTAAAATAATTTCTAACTTTACGATATTTTTGTGTTGATTTTTTAATATAATTTTTAATTTTCACAAGTTATGTCTAAATTTTTCGCAAAATTTTTACCTCTTAAAAAACACCTGGACCGACTCCTGATGTACCTTTAGTATGTTTTATTCTAATTATCAGATTTTCACATACTAAGAGCCAGTTTTAATGATTCTAAAGCTTTAAATGTGCTAATTATAATTAGTTAGTGCCAACTATTAATTTAGTTAATCAGAAACACAGCATACTTTCTCTGGATAAATATAATTATTACATATATTTTTTTTAGCCATTGAAATGTGGGTTAGCCTCTATCTGGAAGCTATAATCTCAATAGTTTAGCTCAGAAAGCAGCCTTAAGTTTGAGCATTTTAATTTTCCTCCTCGTATTTTTTCCATCATTATGAAACTTTTTATGTAAACGGACAGCTTTTTGTGAACAGTTATAAAACTTGTTTATCCAAACATAATTTTAAGCAGAGGATATTTTTTAATATTTTTTTTTAAATTTTATTTAATAATGACCAAAAAAGTTTATAATGATGTAAGAATTTGTATGCCAAAAATTTTATCAAAAATAAAAATTTGTTAAAAAAAAAGAATTTTTGTTGAGAGAAAGTATATTTCCACTTGTGATTTTATAATTTGATTATTGGGTGATATAAATTAATAAGCATATTTGAGGTTAAGGCTTTGAAACATTTTTATTGGCACTTAATACTTGAAGATCTGATCATTAGAACATAAGTGAAGATTATTTTTGTTCAAAATTCAATGGAAATATATTCTTCTTAGTGGGAACAATACTGCCTCAAAATCAAGTGCCACATGTGTTCCAACTGCTGTTGTCACCAGACAAGTGACAAATGTTGTACCTGCTCCTACGCAAGTGTCTGTAGTAACTGAAAAACCCAGCGAAGTGAAAGTGGTTCAACAACCTCAAGCTGCTGTGGTGCAAGTATGTGTAGTTTTAAAAATCAAGAAACCTGTGGACAATGTTTCTTTAACTTATTTTATTTATTTGGCTGCATTGCTATAACTTAATATATTAAAAATAAAATTATATCAATTCTTTAAACAAAATTTTGACTCGTGTTCGAGAGGAAATATATGCTTAGTTTTGTAGACAACTTCTGATATGATTAGATTAAAAAAAAGTTGCTACATCTAGGTATAAAACATGTTTTAATTTTTTTTCCCTTCACACATTTACATTTTCTTTTTTTAAAATGGCCATTTTTGCAGATATATTTATGCAGTGAATCATAAGTTTATAGATGTTTTGAATTCAAAAATTGAATCTAAAGAAGTTTAAATGGTTGCTAAAGGTGTTTGTTTTCCAAGCAAAATATGTTATAATTTTAAAAAAAGAAATTAATTTTCATTTTTATAAATGTAATCTTTTTAGTGCTTTCATGGATCAGGGAGAATAGGACAAACTTGAAATTGCCTGGGAATTTTATTTTAACTGTAAAAAGTAGGGAATATTCAGGGAAAGTTGCAACTTTTTAAAAAAGAAAAAAAAAAACATGGAAAATTCCTATATGATACCTGGAAAATAACTAATCTTAGAATTGTCAGTAACATTAAGTTATTGAGATTAAAGTTAAAATAATTCTAACATCTATTACAATTATTTTATTAAATTCCACTTTTTAAGGAAACTTTTCCTTGTGTCCATTCTCATTTTATTATGTGTTTTTGATCACAAAATTTAATATTTGACATAACAAATAAGAAGGTAATCAAAGTTTTCTAATGAAAAATTGCATGGTATAGATAAAATATGGATTTTCATAGAAATTTACCTGATATACTTGTTAGGGGATTTTTTTTCTTCTGAAATAGAGAGGGAACCCTGTCTTGTCTTACTCAAAAGAGTTTCTTTGAAAGAATTAATAATGAAAGTAATTCATGTACTTGAGGTAAAATATTTTCTTTATGTAATCCAACATTACTTTATCATTGTCAAATAAAAGAATCTCTATTAAAAATAGATGTTTTAAGAATAAAATAGATAAAAATGCATAAAATTTATAAAAATTCTAATGATTCTGCACTCAACTGAAATAAATTAGGAATTAGATGTTTTCTGTTTTCAAAGAGTTAAATTTACTGTATTTCCTGAAAATAACCATTTTTTTAAATTATTATTTTAAGTATGTTTGGCTTAACTTAGTTGCTACTACAAAACAATTTTGGTTCTTTTTTAAAACTTGTATTGAATATGCATAATGTTATATGAAAATGCTAAATCTATACATCAGGAGAATCACCATTTTTTTTTATCCAATTATAAGAAAGCTTATTTTTGCCACAAATGATGTGGTTTTAATTAACTGATTGTTTTTTTTTTTCTAGTCTGTCTGTGTTACACCTATGTTGCAGTTGATGATTAGGCTTCCTGATGGCCAAACCATGCCTGTTCAGTTTCCTGTCATGTCTGCAGCTCCCACCGTTGCTACAGTAACACAGTCTGTTCAACCATCTCAGTCTGTTCAACCATCTCAGTCTGTTCAACAGCCTCAAACTGTTCAACAACTGAAGCCTGTCCAACCAGTTCAATCTTCTGCTGCAGAATCTTCAGATTCTGAAATTCCAGCTGCTAATATCTTAACAAAAATGGTCTGTATTTATACTTAATCTATTTATACTTAATCTATTTATACTTAATTGAAATACGATATTCGTTTATCTCTATTCTTAATCAAAATGGTTTATTCTATTTCTATAATTACTATTTTTTAAATAATATTTGTTCAACACGTAATCAAATATTTTAGATCCAATTATAAATTTTATTTTGGAAAATTCTACTTTTTCTATTTAAATGTCACAATGAAATTAAAAATATTAAAATTGTTCATAAAAAAGAATTAATAAGAATATTTTTATGGAATTTTGAAAATTTTTTCCTAAATTAAAAAATATTACTTTTTTTAAAAAAATTATTCCATTTATTTATTGTTTGCCCCCGCTGATTTTGTGAGATATGATGATTAAATTAAGCTCATGATTACTGTGATGATATGTGTGCCTGAAACTGCAAAAAAATGGCAATCAGTTGAAAACAAATTTATAAAAAGAAATTTAACTTAGCAGCGCTCTTTTAGTTTATTAAAAGTGAATGTGGTGAAGATTATTTTAAATATATGTCAATGATGTAATGTAATGCGTTGTGGTAATTACGAATGAATAGTTAGTTAGAAAAAATGAATTAAGTTCTTACCATTTCTTACATTTTTACCCACATATCATCACTGTTTTTGAAAATACAATTAAACTGCTATTGTTCTAAAAAGTTATTGTTCTAAAAGAATTGTACTTATCTATGAATTATTCTGTTCCATTCCAGTTAGCTTCCCTTTTATATGATGAATCTCTTTAAAATATTCTTTTTTAAAAAGGAACCGATTTTCGGAATCATTTATATTTTAATTTTTTAAAGATTAAGTATTTTAATATTTAAATTATTTTCTTTTTGTTTGATGTTTTGAATTATTAATTTTTTTTAATAATTTGTTTTTATCTCTGTTATTGAGTAAATTATTTCCTTTATTTCTCTGTTTTACTATAATGTCCATAATCTCATATTTATAGTAATTTCTCCTTACGAAATTCTTTATTATTTTTAGTGAATCATAATATATTATTTTCTTTTGAACAACTTATTAGTGTTGAACAGCAATAGGAATTTTTTTTGATAGCAAGCGCTAGACAAAACAATTTCCATGACAGTAAAAGATCATGAACTTAGATATTTTTCTGAATTCGGATGGGTAGGAATGATACAATTATAGGTTTTGTGTGCCTCAAAATTCATGTTTGTATGAAAGCACCAATCATTCTACAAAAAGGCTTGCGTTTGATGAAATACTTGTGGGTCCGCATGTGCATATACAGAGCTGGATTCAGTGGAAATTATTCTTGCACTTTCATGTATAACTGGGCTGCATTTTGCAAAAGATTCTCAATTTCCCTCTTCATTTTCCTCCCTCTGAAATCAAACCGAAAAATATCTATCTCTCGATCTTTTTATGGTGGCTAGTGTAATCGAATAAAAGAGTTCTTTGTCAGAAACTAGTTTTATCATGATCATGTAAAGTCTTTGAAAATTATTTTGCATTTTCTTAATGTATAAAGTGCTTTATAGGTACTTATTTTGTGTTGAAAGATTTGGCTTGATATATATATATACGTATATTTGTTTCTTATCATTTTAGAGATTGAAAGACATGCTAAAATTGAACAAGAAATCTCTACCGATTGCAAGGAAGAGTCCTCCAAGCATTGTTAAAACAAAACTTACAGCAATGACAGCCAGTGAACTTATAAATGAATATGGTCTTTCTCCTCCTCCCTCACCCGTGGGTACACAAAAATCTGGACACACAGGGTACTTGACATTTTTCTATCAAGTTTACTATGTTTGTTGTTCCATGTTTATTGGCCAAATTGTGCTGATCCAAAAAGTATTAAAATCTCAAAATTTGTCAAAACACAACTAAAGTTAGCTTTAAACTTGTGCATATTGACTACAAGCGAACTAATTATTTTTTCAATTACTCTATGCTCTGAATCAAGGTGTTAAACTGCGTGCATCATTGACGAGGTATCTCAATGAAGAATCACGATAACTTAAAAAGTACATTTAATAAACCAACAAAATAACATGTTAGCAATTAGATAACAGAAGATTAGCAATAAACATCAAAAAGTCCTTTTATACTTTCTGGATTGTACTAATAAATGAATATTCCTTTTTTATTTTATTTTTAATGTCTCTCTATTTGCAATAGCTCTAAATCACATCTTTCATTTAATCATTGGTGATTCTATTCATCTAGACCCAGAGTGTTTGTCCAAATTCCTGACACCAATCATAAGTGGAGAATTCTGATAGATTTAAATTTCTAATTGTTATTGTAGAAAAGTTATTATTTTTTGATTTAATGTTACAAATTAATTACAACTGTCTGAAATCCCTATGTGTGCAGTATTCTATTGAACGTCTGATTGAATGAACCTGTATTTACGAAGTTTTGTGTCTTTAATTTTTTTTTTAATATGTAATGATTTATATGATGTAGGTAAAAACCCTTATTTAAAAAAAGAAATCCCTATTTCAATAGCCAAAAGCATTATTAGTTTGGGTTAGAAAAATATTAGATTGCTGCATCACATGTGGTTCCAGATTGTCTGAACTAAAGTAAGTTAACAGAATCAAAGAATAGCGTATTTGATGCAAATTTTGATAATGAAACTCTTTTTAAAACTGTTAACTTTTTCTAATGCTGTATATTATTCGGAAACTGTGAAGCAGTATGCAGATGACACAAAATTTTTTCTTCCACAAAATTAAAAAAGATCTTTTTTGATTTACTCAAGTCAACAACCTAGGAAATTGTCACAGAGCGTATATTTAAATATCAAATTAATTACTGCATAATTAATCCATTTTTTTGTTGTTGCTGGAAGATAAGAAAGGTGTACAGTTTTTAATAGGAATATTTTTGAATAGTTGCTTATTATGGCTTTTAAACAAATTCAGTGGAGACTTTTTAGTTCCTGATATTACGGATAACCATCAATTCAAAATAAAATTTCAGGCCTGATTAATTTGTTGAACCAGAATCCAACTATTCTGTGTGATAGTTACAAAAAGTTTTTACTTTGCTATTTTGTTTGATTTTTTTTAACCTTTTGTTGTGGTAAAAAGTCTGACATCAATGTTCCATTTGCTTTTACTCTCAGTTTAATTAAAGGAGACAGATTGTTGATTGCTAAAATTAAGATAAGTGGCTTTTTGGGGCAGTGTTGTATTAATCTTCCATTTCTGCATGATAGAAATCTGTTAATATTTTTAATTAAAATTCTATTATGTTATCGAGCTTGATTTAATTCTGACAAAATGTACACCTTTTCGTTGAAGATGCTTTACCTTAACACACATTGATGGATAGTCTATTATTCTTTCTTTTCGTTGCCAACACCTATTTACCAATAGTCTTTTGATTGGCTATTGATTGATTAATAAATATAATTTTGAATTAGGGCCAAGGAAATACAATGTTTTGTTAAGACTAATTTTCCTATTATAACAGAAAGTAGGCAATTTTATTTCTTCATACAAAAAGCACCGATTCTCTCGTGTGTCCATCTAAACTGGAACAATTCCAGGGCAAAGGAGGAAGAGCATTCGGTGTGCTGTTAAACTGCTAACAAACAATCCTTCAAAGAGATCTATGAGTTGATCCCAAGGGAGGACACAATTTCATGAATAATTTACTATATTTTTCTTGGGGAAAATATGTAAAAAAAAATTACCTAAAATCTAGAATGATACTTCATCAAAATAATAATAAAATAAAAAAAATAATAGTAAGTAAATAAATAATAAATTTAAATAAAACAAATAAAAAAAAATTAAAAGTAAATATTGCTGTAAAAGGCAAAGATTAAATGTTAGTGAAAGATTATTTTTTAAAATTCCATGCATAATTTTAAATTAATATTAATGTAGCCTAATTGTAAAAACTTCTGGGGGAAAAATTACTTTTTCTCTATTTTCCCTACAATGCATATTAAAGTTTTCCAGACATTAAATACTACATCTGTTTTATTTTTGGTAAGTTCACAGTAAAATTTTTAATATTTTTTTGTTGAAAAAATTAATTTTAGATAGTTATGGTTAAATTTTATATAGTTTTAAGTTTTATTTAAAGTATTTTAACATAAGTTTACAATTTAAATTTTTTTAAAATTTTCTTTTTCTTGTGGAAATAGGATTTTTTAAAATACAGAAATATGTAATTATTGTTTAATAATTATTTCCCCCTTTTTATGATGAAAACATTTTTAAAGTATTTTTATTGAAATGAATAAATATTGAACTAAGTTTAAAAAATGTATATTTGTTTAAAATTTTCTGTAATATTTCAATTTTCAGAAGAAAGCGTCGAGATACAATTGATGATGTAGATGAAAAACGTAAAAGATCTCTTGAACGAAACAGGTACAGTTACAAATTATTTATTTATTTTTTAATTATTTATTTTTGCTTATTTATTTCTGACAATTTTTGTTTGTTCACTTTAGAGCTGCTGCAACTAGATGCAGAGAAAAGAGAAAACAATGGATAACAGCTTTAGAAAGGAAAGCAGAAGAACTTTCAGCTACAAATACAAATTTACAAGTATTTATTATTCCTTTGCATACTTTGTTGTTGTCGGACCTTGATTTAACGAAGTCACTAAATCCATATAGAAAAGTTCGTTATATGGAGAAAAAAATTTAAATTGAAAATTACCATTTGAAATATTTATACAATACAAAACATGTTTTGAATTCATATACACTAGACATAACTAAAATAGCAATTAATATACCTTTATCGTGTAAATTATTATTTATTATCGAATTGTTTTAAATGATGTTAACCTTTCATCATATGAAGGTTTGGTGATTTCTTCATTATTTCAGTCTTCAAATTCTTCGTCTTCCTCACAATTTATTCCTGTATTGTTTTTATTTTTCACATAGTCCAAGATATCAGATTCAGTTAATATTTCTGTGGTTGCAGCTTCAGAATCAATAAAAAAGAAAATTATTAATTAGTATATAATCATAAATTTCGTGTTTCTCTCTTAGCTGTACCCATATTTTTTTAAGTTCTTCCAAAAGAATATCACCCTCGTCCTCCGCAATTTCCAAAATCTCCGCTCTGACTAAGAATCCAGCTTTGGAAAAACTGTTACGAATAGTATGATCTCTAACATCATAGTTTCATACTTTAGAAATTTCTGTTATGCTTCCTCGTAAATTGATTTTTGGCATTGATTCCTGTATGAAATGTAAACAAAAAGGGAAAGGGATTTTACGGCTTTCTCTAAAAGTTAAGTGGCTGTGAAAATCAATTCAAGATCATTTCCCCCATAAAATACGTTAACAAGTTCGAAATGTTCTGAAATATATTGGGAAATGGGGAAAGTGAATCTCAAAGAAAAGTTCATTAAATAGAAAATTCACTTCGCTGTTTGGAAGTTATTTTCAGAAGAAAGTTCCAAAATGTTCTTGGTTCCTTTGAAATAAATCGCAAAATTGAAATTCACAAAATGGAAGTTCATTAAACTCCAACTGTATTTACTTGTTTTGAAATGATATGGTATCATTTAAAATCATTCATTGGGACAGTTCTTAGTTTTATTCATATAAATTTTAAGCAAAATATCTTTTGTAAAGAAATTTATTTAAATTTAATTTGGTTCACGTAAGACAAAACTCAAATCAATTGGATATAAATTTATGGTACAATCTTGAAACCTAAGCAATAGGAGGAAAATACATTGTTTTAAATTACAAGTTTATATTATGTTAGAAATAAAGTGCCCTGTTAAAAAAAAGATTTAAACAATCATCAATCATAAATACATAAATACAATTAAAAAATTCAAATTTAGCTTTTGAAAATCATGATGAATTTTCATTTTCACTTTTTAAATTAATTTAAATATTTTTACTGTTTTAAAACATTGTCTTAGAAAATGAATTCCTGTTTTCTAAAGCTGGTAATAAAACTGATAAGGAATTTTTAATGGAAGTTATGATAAAAAATAAATAAATAAACACAAAAATTTTATACATGGAATAATGTATTACTTTAGCTTAAAAAATAGAAAATTTTAACTTAAATTTTTTTTCATTTAGTCAAATATAAATTTTTTATGCATTTAAATGTATATTTCTTTTAATTTACAATTTTTAAATTACAAATAAAATGTGTTAATTTAAATCATGAAAATTTTCAAAACATTCCTAATTTTTCTCTTGAAATCTAGAATTTGGATTTATTAGGAGAATGACCATGCTGTAATTGAATCAACGTGTACAGTTTTCGAATTATCATTTATTTTTATTTTCATTCATATTGATAACAAAAAGTCATTTTTAACGCTAAATAACTTTTACCATTCAGTCAATTACCATAACCAGTCAAATGACCGTTTAAGAACTTTTGCATCGAAAATGCGCTTATCATCTTATCGTTTTTGTACGTATGACTTCATGACTTTTTCTAATAATTATATACAGTTAATATTCTATTGTTATTTGTTTTTGAATTTTGTTTGTTTCAAATAATACTTGTCGTATACTTATTTTTACCACAACAGGTCACCGGGAGAACAATTTATTGCTTTATAAGGTTATTAAATCAGAAATTACAATGTAATGCATGTTCAACGTATTGCATTCGATTAGTTGCACATTTTTGCAAAGACTGTTGTGTAGTTAGTTCAATCAGAATAACTGTGAATTCAAATTTCACTAAAGTGCCTAAAATTTTAGATTGGCATTTTTGTGTAAGAAAAAGTGACAATTATAATTCTCAAGTCAAATGACTATGACTTGAATTGACTATTTATTATTAGAATAATTATAAGAATTATGAAAATAATAATAAGTAAAAGAAAGATGTTTGCAGAAAATGTACAATGGAAGCACCCTGTATATGTAAAAAATGTGTTGAGCAATGAATTAAAAATTTTTATTATTTGTGTTTGTAAATTCATATAAATTGGCAATATACAACTTTGTTTAATTATAATAAAGTTTTTTTAGTTTATTTCCTTCCTAACATCCATGTTTCCTTCATTCAATCAAGAAACATAAAATCCTCATTTGACCGGCTATGGTAGAAATAGGTATATATTAAGCGTTGGAATGTTTAGTGTTAAACAAAATAAAATTTTTAATGATATAACTGTTACCACAAATACTATTGTTTTAGTATCCAATGTTATGAACTTTTTTGCAGCACGAAGTTGCCTCACTAAGGAAAGAGGTTTCAGATTTGAAGACACTTTTACTGTTACACAAAGATTGTCCTGTTACTCAGCAGCAGAAAGCTACAAATTTTGATGTTGATCAGGAAACGTGTAAGTTTTGATTGACCAGATTATGTAGTTTAAGTTTATTTTATTATGATCTTTACTTTTGAGACATGTTTTATCGTTCTATTTTCAAGATGTTATTGCTCTACTTTTTCGACTCGCAAATTACTAAATTTTTCAACGATCCATAATTTTGCTTTTAGTTTTGTTCAAGTGAAACACGGGGGCCGCATCCGGCCCGCTTAGCTTATTTTTTGTGGCCCGCAAACTAAAATATATTAGTTGTCCTTTTTTGCAGACAATTTTCGTAAAAAGTAAAAAATCTATGTGGGTTTAAAATATTTTTCGAGTTAATAAAAACCTAATTTCTTCGTTTCTGTGAAATTTATCATACCAACGGTGCAAAAAAATTTTTTTCTCAGGTTTTGCACCCAATAAAATATTTATTCAAATACAAAAATAATCGTGTATGATGCCGTTTTTTATTTCATTTTCTTTGTATTTTGTGAATATAATTTAGCATGTGTGTATCAGAAATTTTCTCGAAGAAATTCTCCGATTCAACTTTTTGAAACTACTCATTTTGAACGAAAATATTTACACACACATTTGTAAATTTAAAATGTAAATATCTATTCTCTGGGGATTGCAGCAGACAAACCTCAATTTTGTCAGTGAACATTTTGTGTGCTACTATCTAAGTTTTAATACCAACCTTTTTAAAGTTTTATATCTTAACAGTTAGATATGTTTTGCACATTAATTGTTTAATACATGGGTGCACATTAAAGTTATTGAAGCCCAAATTTTTTAATATGCAATAAAATATTTTTCAAAATCTACTTCTAATTTTAATTTGTAAATCAATACTTTTGTTTTGTACAACTTGATAAAAATCTGACAGTAATATTTTATGTGCCTTCAAACATAAAAGAATCCTACATAAAATTTTGATTAGGTTGCGGCCCGCCATTTGATTTGTGTTTTTAATTGTGGCCCCCAGCCTCATGTAAGTTGGAAACCCCTGGTCTAGAAGTTTCAAGAAATCATCGATCACAATTTTGTCTAAAAATTCTTGTATATTTTATTTAGAAATATTAGAACTAGAATTTATACTTGGCATCTCTTTCATTATTAAATATTTTTTTCTTTAATAATAATAATTTTGATTAGACATAAAAGTAAACCTATACATAATTATTAATTTAAATTATGCTGCATATAATTTATTTAGAATTTCATGTTTTGAAAATATCAATGATTTAAATTTATGAAGACATAAATATTTTAAAATGTGTCATTAATGACTTTACTCGAGAAATTTTCAGGATTTTTGAGTTGGGCTCACAATTACCCCTGATAACATAAATAATTTGAATATTTTATTTAAATTCTATTTCAATGAAATATTTAAATAATTGATTTTGTTTTAGGTTCTTTGTTATTTAAATTTTATTTAATTAAAATATTTATGCTATTGGTTTCGTTCAAGGGGCTATAATAGTTTTGCTCTAAATTATCTACAGATTTCTAATTCTAGCAGTCTACAAACTACTGAACTTATCACATTTAAAAATGCAGGAATATATTGTCTTAAACAAAAAATTTTAAATTTAATATTTATTTGTTAATTAAATTTTAAAAATTAAATTATTAATTAACGTATTTAATTAACGTGCATCCTCTTATAATTTACTCTCTCTTCTGTGTGTATTTAATTGCACAGGTTCAAAAGTTGACTAAGTAGGCGATTCCTCTACTGTAGTCTGCAACTTTTATAAAAATAATAATTTGTGTTCATTTTTGAGGAAAATTTTCTTCTTTAATGTCTTTAAGAAATACTTTTATTTGCACACACAGGAATGTATTGTAGTTATTGAAACATTGTAAAACAAAATTCTAAAAAAAACACAGAAAATTCACAAACTTTTTTTTTTATAATTCTAGTGACTGTTTCCTTGAAAATTAATAAATATTACTTACAAATAGAGTGTCATCATGGTAATAATTTTTAAAAAATTTCTTGAAAATTTATAAATTTTATGTTGAAACATTTTCAAATTCTATAAAATATTTATTACTTATCATAGCAGTTTTTAATATGTTCTGAGTAAGTAACAACAATTTGAAGAGAATTTATTTTAATTGCTGGAGCACTTTTAGAATATATATATATAATATATATATATAATTCGATGACTGATGATATACGGTATCAACATCGCACACGTAGGGATTGAAAGAAATGT